CCAGGGGAGGGACTCCGGCCCAGATCCAAGAAATCCGCGCGGACCTCCACAAGTTTACGGTAGGTTTGCGTCGTGTCGGCCAGCGGCGACCCCAGCGCATCGGGCAGCGGAAAAGGCGAGAAGGCTGAAACGATAGGTTTCACGAAGGGAACCCAGACCTCCTCGCGTCGTGAAAAAATCACGACGGGAGGTTTTTCGCGATTTTCGGCCTCCGGGGGCCCTTCCCGGGCCTCGGGAGCGTCAAAAAACGACTCAGGACGAAAATCCGGTCCCGGGGAAGGGGTCCAGACCTCTGGGGATCGACGTTGTGAAAAAATCACGGTAGGTTTTACGGTAGGTTTGCGTCGTGCCGACCAGCGGCGACCCCAGCGCGGGCGTTCAAGGTTGAACGCCGCCGGCGACCCAGAATCGATCGATGTTGAACGATCGGACGTTGCGGCAGCGGCCGATCGTTCAAGGTTGAACGATCCCTGCGGTGTCAGAAACCAACGCCGGGGTCGACACGACGCGAACCTGCCGTACGCATGTTCCTGCCGTTTGTTCTTCCTCTGAAGGATTGCGAAGAGGTATGGTCTCAGAGTTCAGCGAAGTGTCCAGCGGGAACCCCGTTTTGAAAAGGATCCGCCCCCACACGTGGAGCTGTTTGCTCAGGTGTACACGTGCGGTCACCCAGTGTGAGGAAGTCTTCAGCCAGGGCCCTGTCTTGACACGGAGCGCCCTCCATCTGTGCAGGTGTTACATCTGTTCGAGCCTCTGGCCGTTGAGTGTGCAAAGGAAGTCTCAGGCGATAGCCTCCTTTTGTGAAGACCAGGCAGCCTCCATCCTTGCAGGAGGTGCAGGCCCTTCGGACGAGTGTGTGCGCTGCTGAGGCGAGAACTCCCCTAGAAAAACCGGCCGCCATCCATCACTGCGACCGCTGTGTCCTTCTTCGCAGGCCTCGAGGTTGACACCAACACCAAGATCGGCGGTGTGCCTCCACCGAGGGAAGACGATCCCGATCTCGGTGATGGTGGTAATATTCTTGCTGCCAAGGTGACCGACATATTACCACCAGCACCAGAATCTAGGATCATCTTCCCCTGTGGAGGCAATGCCCTGTGTTGGTGGTGGTGCCAATGTCTAGGCCTCCTACTTCGGAAGTGAATCGGCGCGGCCCGAAGGGCGAGAGCCCCGTCTCGAAGGCGTGTTGCCCTGCCGGCCCCTGGGCCCAGCGAGAGCCGAAGACGTCCAAACCACCCACCCGTTGGATCTTCGACGGTCGGCTTCCCCGGAGGGAGGGAGGGAGGGAGGGAGGGGAGGGGAGGGAGGGGAGGGGGGGAGGGGAGGGAGGGGAGGGAGGGAGGGAGGGTGGAGGGGGGAGGGAGGAGGAGAGGAGGAGGAGGAGGAGGAGGAGGAGGAGGAGGATGGCGGGTGCATGGAGAAGGGAGGAGGAGGAAGAGGAGGAGGAGGAGGAGGAGGAGGAGGAGGAGGGACCAGCGTAAAGCCGAGACGCACCAACGGCATTGCAATGAGCCCTCCCTCCAAGTTCCCTCTTCACAGGTCCCTGCAAGGATTCATCTCAATCGCGGGAAGTGGCCCAGTAGAAGACAACCATCTGCGAATCCTCAACCGTGCCGAAACACCATTCCTGGAACTTCGACGCCGCGGATCAGCGTGGCTGGTGCGTCCGGACAGTCCTGAACCGTGCCAGAAGCCACTCCTGGAACCCCAACACCGCGAGTCAACGCCGCGGCCGCGCCCTGACGGTCCCGAGTCGCACCAGGATGCCGCCCTGGGACTTCGCGACCACGCGACGCGCTGCGGCCGCTGCAGAAAAGCTGTTCCAGACGAGCGCGCGCGCGCGCGCGGCGCCGAGGGCGAGGGGCGCAGGCATGCGAGGGCCACGCCCTCCGCCCGCGCGGCCGCCGCAGCTTGTTCTCTGCGACGACGCTCCGCGGCGCTCCCGCGAGAGCCGCCCCCTCGCTGGGAGAGCGAACGCGGCCCGCCCGCCGCCCGTGGGGGCGGCCGCGCCGGGCCCGCAGGAGGGCCGTGCGCAGCACCAACAAAAGCGGAGCTCTGCGCTCCGACGTCGGCGTGCCCTCTCGCCCGTGGGGCGGCCGCGTCGGGCCCGCAGGAGGGCCGTGCGCAGCACCAGGGGGGGGCGGAGCTCTTCGCGCCGACGTCGGCCCGCCCTCTCGCCCGTGGGGGGGCTGCAGGCCCGCAGGAGGGCCGTGCGCAGCACCAGGGGGGGGCGGAGCTCTTCGTTCCGACCTCGGCGTGCCCTCTCGCCCGCGAAATGGCCACAAAGTTTTGAGGGCGGCGGTGCGCGCAGCACCACGAAGCGGAGCTTCGTCCCGACGTCGGCCCGCCCTCCACCCGGGAAGCGGCTGCGGAGTGTTTGAAGGCACGAGTGTGCGCGGCGCTGCGGCGAGAGGCACACTTTTGATAGCGGCCCGCCATCGATCTGTGAACCTGCTGCAGGTTGCAATCTTCAGGGTCACAGATTGGTGGGGGGGTCTCAGGCCAAACGCCCGGCCCGCCCGACTGACACGTCTGGGGGTGCGACGGGAAGGAGTTCTTCATCAGGAAAAGGGATGGAGGAGGAGGAGGAGGAGGAGGAGGAGGAGGAGGAGGAGGAGGAGGAGGAGGAGGAGGAGGAGGAGGAGCAGAGAGCAAGAGGAGCAGAAGGAGCAGGAGGAGGAGGAGGAGCAGCAGAAGGAGCAGAAGGAGGAGGAAGGAGGGAGGAGGAGGAGGAGGAGGAGGAGGAGGAGGAGGGAAGAGGAGGAGGAGGAGGAGGAGGAGAGGAGGAGGAGGAGGAGGGGGGGGAGGAGAGGGGGGAGAGGGGAGGAGGAGGAGGAGGAGGAGGAGGAGGAGGAGGAGGAGGAGGATGGAGGAGGAGGAGGAGGAGGAGGAGGAGGAGGACAGAGAAGGAGGAGGAGGAGGAGGAGGAGGAGGAGGACAGCGAAGGAGGTGGGGGAGCAAAACGAACCCATGGAGACCTCTTCGGCCTCTGGTGCGCGAGGGATGCGCAGATCGTGCGCGGTCCCCGTCGCGGCGCGAGGCCACAGCCCGACGGGGCCGGTCGGGCGTGCTCGGTTTGTCCGCGAGGACCAGGTCTCCTGAGGCACGCTGGGCTTCTGATGCTCCAGCCTACTTTTCAAGGGCATAAAAAAACGCCCCTACCCTGGTTTACGAGGCGCTGTGCGCTGAAACTCCTGTGGGCTGACAGGGTAAACCCTGCGTGATGTGCCGCGTCCTGGCGGCTCTAGGCTTCGGGGGTTCCCGGGAGGTTTACAGACCACGCACTTGTAACCCAGGGTAGGGTCGTTTTTTCATCCCTCAAACTTTAGCCTTGGTCACCAGGAAGAAGTTCGAATGCTCCAGCCTACTTTACTCCAGATTTCGTAATAAAGGGAGGGGGGTCTCATTTCGGGGGGGGGTCTCTTCTAGGCTGTCTTGGAGGGCCTGGGGGGTCTGGGGACGATGTTTTGGAGGGTTCTCCCACGGGGGAGGTCTGAAATGGCTTGTCTTGGAGGGTCCAGCCCCCCTCCCTTCTATTACGAAATCTGGAGTAGCCTTGGTCACCAGGAAGAAGTTCGAGCGCCCCAAAAAGTACCGAAACGCAAGGGTTTTCACGTGCCGGGCCCTGGGAGACACTCGCCCGACACTGTTTCGGCACTGTCTCGACACTCTTTGGACACTCTTCTGGGTGCTCGAAACCATTTCGGGGATGCGGTCCTTGAGTAGGACGGGGACAACAGAACGCTAGGCTTCTGGAGGCCCAGCCAGAATCAAGAAGGACTCGAAACTCGACCCCGCTGCGCTTCGACTGTCGTGGGCTGTGTTGTTACTTGATCGGAGCCTCTGTCGCTGCGCCTGCTGATCAACATCGCGGACGTGGCGTTCTCGCTACTTTCGTGCAGGCTCCTCACACATAAGCCGGCGGAAATTATCGCACGTGTAATCGGAGCCTCTGTCGCTTCGCCTGTTGATCAACATCGCGGACGTGGCGTTCTCGCTACCTTCGTGCAGGCTCCTCACACATAAGCTGGCGGAAATGATCGCAGGCAGACCTCGGATCGGGATAAGTCGTTCCAGAGCGCTTCGGAACGCTCACAGAGCGTTCCAGAATGTTCTGGGACGGCCGCAGCGCCCAGATAAATCTTCAAGGGCCGCCAGATCACAGAGATCCCCGATGAATCCCGATCCGATGTTCCCCCATCCTGGCCTCGTCTTACAGCTGGCACGAGTGTTGAGAACAACCCCTGCTTCGGAGGGGTACCCTTCTGTCCTTCGCGCTCGGGCTCTCCAAGCCTGTAACGCTCTTCACGTGGGATGCTTGTTTTTGTGGGGCCGTCGGCTTTTGGGGGAAGGTCATCGAGAGCAAAAGAACCCCGAACCCCAATATCACACTGAAGACGTGGCCGTGCTAAGGCCCCCCCTGTCTTTGCAGTAGGGATGATCCATCTGGGCGGTTTGGTTCGGTGCGTCTGCTGAACAAAAAAACATGTCCTTAACGTTTCTGGCCCTCCGAACTTAGGTCCCCTCCCAAAGGATCAGCGGCCCTTGTTTCGTCAATCAGAAGGGGCTCGTCTTCTTCACCCACGCTCTTGCGGCCCATGTTCTCCGACTGCACTGCCCAGCCGGCGCCTCCTCCTCCTCCTCCTCCTCCTCCTCCTCCTCCTCCTCCTCCTCCTCCTCCTCCCTCCTCCTCCTCCTCCTCCTCCCTCCTCCTCCTCCTCCTCCTCCTCCTCCTCCTCCTCCTCCTCCGGCCCGCCGGCGCCAGGCGCCACCCTGCGCGGCCGGATGCACCTGGTGGACCTGGCCGGCAGCGAGCGCCTCAAGCGCTCGATGGCGGGCGCCGCGGACGCGGCGCTGCGCCCCAGGCAGCAGGCGACGGGGATGCTGCGGTCGCCGCAGGAGACCGCCGGGGGGGCCACGCTAAAACGACGCGAAGATCGGGACAAAGTCGGATCGGGAGAACCCGAAATCTCTGAGAGTCGGCGGGCTTGGAGGATGTATTGGGCGCCGCGGCCGCTCCAGAGCGTTCCGGAACGCTCTGAGAGCGCTCCGGAACGCTCTGGAGCGATTTATCCCGATCCTAGCCCTGCTTTACACACGTCTGAGGAGGAAAAGGGTACCCCCATACCTCTACCCTTGCACCGCTTTGCCCCGTTGCGGGCCTCCTGGGAGGCCCTCGTCGTCGCCGCCTCTGGACTCGCCTCGAGATTCTGGTCAGAACGCGCCCCGGGAGAGGTCCAGGGAGTACAGCGGTATCGGTACCTTTTGGTTTCCCCATTTTGGTGGAGCACAGACCTCCAATGCTCAGAGAGATTCTCTGCGGTAGTTTCTGTTGAGTTATCGCGGGGCCGCGCCAGGCCCCAGGGCCGTCGGAGCACGACCAGGGATTTATCAGTCGCCACAGAAGGACGTACGCGTACATCCTTGGCTCCAGATCCGCCCTACTTTTGCTTTTTTTTTTCAATTTAAAATTGCATAGGAAATCCACCTATAGGAAACCGAAAAAGTAGGGCGGAAATTTCTGCACCCAACGTAAAGTAGGGCGGAAATCCACAGAAGTAGGGCGGAAGCAGCAACAGGAGAGTAGGGCGGAAGTTGGCATCAGCGGGGCTCCAAACGCAGGGCGGAGATTCCAAGCCCTGCTTAGGAATTTCCCAAAAGTAGGGCGGATCCGGAGTCAGGCATGCGTACATGAGTCCGCGCTGGCTTCGAGAGTCGGGAGCGGAAAAGAGGGGGGTGATGACTAGGGGGGGTGGATATCATGGCGGGGGCCATGATATTTCCCCAGATCTCATGGCGCCTCTCTTATTTCATTACGTCCCTGCCCCGCCCCCGCTGGGCCGCGCACATGCCGCCGGTCATGATTTGCACCCCCCCTCTTGGACACCCCCCTCTTGGCCGCTCACGAGAGGAGGAGGAGGAGGAGGAGGCGGAGGAGGAGGCGGAGGAGGAGGCGGAGGAGGAGGAGGAGGAGGAGGAGGAGGAGGAGCGAGGAGGAGGGGGAGGAGGAGGAGGAGGAGGAGGAGGAGGAGGAGGAGGAGGGGGAGGAGGAGGAGGAGAAGGCCGCTCCCGAGAGAGTGCGCACTGCGCGAACGCTCGCGTATCTCACGCGGCTGGTCTCGCGGCCTGGGGCGCCGTCTTCGGGCACGCGGCTGGGCGCGCGCGCCGTCCTTCTCGGCGGGCTCCCCGGGCGACGAGCCGGCCTCGGGAAGCGGGCCGGGGGGGGCCCCCGCGCGGGGACGAAACGACGCGAGGATCGGGACAAAATCGGATCGGGACAGCTCCTCCTCCTCCTCCTCCTCCTCCTCCTACCTCCCCCCCTCCTCCTCCTCCTCCTCCTCCTCCTCCTCCTCTCCTCCTCCTCCCGCCTTCCTTCCTCCTCCCTCCCCTCCCCCTCCTCCTCCCGCGTCCGGCTAATACCATAAAAGACGCGAAATCGGGCGAAAAAATCGATCGGGATAACCGAACTCTTGAAAAGAAGCGCGGGTTGTGGAGGTGTTGTTGGGCGCCGCGGCCGCTCCAGAGCGTTCCGGGGCGCTCTGGGAGCGCTCCGGAACGTTCTGGAGCGAGTTATACCGATCCGGGACGCTCTGGAACCTCCTCCTTCCTCCTCCTCCTCCTCCTCCTCCTCCTCCTCCTCCTCCTCCTCCTCCTCCTCCTGTTTTAGGAGAAGCTCGGGGAGCGGCGGAGGTCTGGGAGGGCTGCGCCGGGCCACGGGGCCTCGGTGCCTCCCTGTCCGGGCGCGGCAGCTCACCAGCCTCGAACTTATCCCTGCCCCTAAGCTGGGCACGCCAAGAGGCGAGGACAGTCTCAGGGACTCGCCCTCGAAAAAGGGGGGAACCCCTACGATTGGCATCGTGATGGGGAGATGCCAGTCTTAGGGACTCGCCCTCGAAAAAGGGGGGAACCCCTACGATTGGCATCGTGATGAGGAGATGCCAGTCTCAGGAACTCGCCCTCGAAGAATGGGGGAACCCCTACGATTGGCATCTTGGTGGGGAGATGCCCTGCACAGGGCATAGGTCTGGACGCCCGAAATGGGTACTGAAAGAATGGGTACCATGCCCAACAGCAGTTCCTGTTCATTTTGAACAAGATCCGCTGTCCACGCCGCCGCGGCCTGTGTCCATTCGAGACAGAAGGCCGCCTGCCCAACAGCGGCCGCTGTTGGCTTGGGACAACATTTGTTGTTGGGCATAGTGCCCATTCTTTCCGTACCCATTTCGGGCGTCCAAAATAGTCTTAAGGATTCGCCCTCGAAAAATGAGGGAACCCCTACGATTGGCATCGTGATGGGGAGATGCCCTGCACAGGGCATAGGGACATGTTCCCAGACATGCGACGTCCTGATTTTTTCTGGACGGCGCCCCTGGAAATCTAGACCCTTTCCATGCAGCCGGTTTTTCGTCCTGAGTCGTTTTTTGACGGTCCCGAGGCCCGGCGAGGGCCCCCAGGGGTCGAAAATAACGAAAAACCTCCCGTCCTGATTTTTTCACGACGCGAGGAGGTCTGGGCGATTGGCATCGTGATGGGGAGATGCCCTGCACAGGGCATAGGGACATGTTCCAGGCTGGGAAGCCGCTGCCCACGGCGCCGGCGCTGGCCGGGCGCCTATACTGGGCCCAGGGCGGGCGTACGGAGGCAGTGGGGCCGAGGCAGGAGGGCCGAGGCCGGTTCGGGGAGGGTGCCCTGGCCTGGTGCACTTCGCGCCTGCTGGGCGCTCTGGCGCCTCCTGGGGAGGGTGCCCCTCGATGCTCCCCAGACCGCCTGGCGTCGTGACAACAATCACGACGGGGGGGGGTTCGCCATCTTCGGCCTCCGGGGGCCCTCCCTACGGCCTCGGGGCCGTCCCAAAAAACGACTCGGGCCGAGAAGCCGGCCCAGGGGAAGGGGTCCAGACCTCTGGGGGTCGACGTCGTGAAAAAAACACGACGAGGAGGAGGAGGAGGAGGAGGAGGAGGAGGGGAGGAGGAGGAGGAGGCGGAGGAGGAGGAGGAGCGATGGAGGAGGAGGAGGAGGGGGAGGGGGAGGAGGAGGAGGAGGAGGAGGAGGAGGAGGAGGAGGAGGAGGAGGAGGCTTCCCCTCATCAGGACTTTCCTTCCCGACTCCCTCACCGGAGGCCCAGAGGTTGACACCAACGCCAACATCGGCGGTGTGCCTCCACCGAGGGCCGAAGTGTTAGCACCAGCGCCAGAATCTATGATCGTCTTTCCCTGGAGGAGGCAACCCCCCTGTTTTGGTGTTGGTGCGCATTTTCAGGCCTCCGTCTTGAGACGCACTCTACTCTCGTTTAGGAGGCATGCCCAAGACGAGCATACCCCACACGACCACAGCCCAGATGACCACTCTAAACTTGTTCGGGCATGCTCAAGAGCATGCCAGCGTGCACTTTTCACGCACGCCCAGCGACCCCACACGCACGCCTCACGCACGCAGGCCTAAGTTGCCCCCCCATATTTCCAGAATAGTCACAGTGAGCCCAATGTTGGGGTGCTGGCGGATCTCGTCCAAGCGTGTATTGTTTCGGGAGGATCTGGTTTCCTGAGGTGTTCGTACGTTCGAGGGCAGGTTCGCGCAGGCGCGGCAGCGTTGCCGTGCACATGCCGAGCGCAGAATGAAAGTGGAACGTGGACATGACGGCACGCCTCCTTTACCTCAAGTCCTCTGCGGGGCTTCTTGGAACCATATTGGTGGTCTCTTATGAACACAGTGGCGTTTCTGGGGGCTTCGTGGGCTGGTCTTGAGACCTTCTTGGACTTTCGATCTCCCCCTTGGGCGGTCACGGGGCCTTCTCTGCCAACATCCAGGGCCTTTCGGACCTCTCCTGGGCAGTTTGGGGGCACTCGATGGCTGTTTGACAGTCTTGGGGACCTCTTTGACTGCTTTTGGCCCCCGTTGGTTGTTTGGGGGGGCCCTTGGGGTCATCCTGGTGCGTTTTGGGTCTCTCTTGGGCCGTCTTGGGCTGTCTTCGGCCTCTTCCGAGGTTCTGTTGGGCTGTACTGAGGTTCTCCACTGGGCGGTGTCGGAGCCCTGTTGGGCTGCCCCTGGACTCCCCGAGACCCTCGCGCAGCCACCCTGAGCCGAAAAGCTGACAAAGGGGGTTCGGGAAATTCCTTACAGTCGGGGCGCTGAAGAAGGAACCCTTCTCGTTGGGGAGGGGCTCGGTGTTCCTTGATTTTTCTACAGCTTGCCCTGGGTTTTCCTGAGGTTTTCCATGGGAAATCGCAGTTCAACTTGTGGGGAAAAGGGGCCTCGTTCCTTATTTAGGGTGCCTTAGGTCAACGCCCCGACTGTTATGCATTCCGGTGGTTTCGACCGCCTGGCTGTCCAAAGTGCCCAGGCGTCCTGGCCGCCTTGGAGGCCTCTCGGGGCCCCTTTTGAGGCTCTCGGGGGCTCCTTTTGAGGCCTTCGGGGGCTCCTTTTGGGGCCTCTTTTGAGGCTTTCTTGGGGCCCTCTTTGAAGCTTTCTTGGGGCCCTTTTGAGGCTTTCTTGGGGCCCTTTTTTGAGGCTTTCAGGGGGCCCTTTTGAGGCTTTCAGGTGCCTTTTTGGAGGCGTGGAGGCCTCTCGGGGCCCTCTTGAGGCTCTCAGGGGCCCCTCTTGGGACCGGGGCTGCCGCGAGAGGCCCCTCCCTACGGGCCGCCCTGGCGGCACGCCGGGCTGGCGAGCTCGGGTCGCGAGGGGCTAAGCTCAGGAGGGGCAAAAACACACACACAGACACAATGAGTCGTCGGCTCCCGAGAACATATGGGAACATATGGGAATTGGGGGGGAAGACAACAGCCCAGAAAATAAGGGAAAATGTGAGGAGTTGTTTTGTTTGTGTGTATTTGTTTGTGTGTCCCAGGGCCCCTTCATAAGTGCCCGCTGCCCGAATCACAAGCTGCTCTGCGCGCAGACTCGCAGCCGCTGGTCCCCCTCGCCAGGCCTTCCAGAATGCGCGGCCCGCTCTGGCCACCGTTTCGAATGCCCTCCCTTGGCTTCCGTCCGCGGACGGGCCCGT